GGTCATAAGCCCACAAGAAGAGTAAGCAAGCATCAAACACTTCCTTTCACCACTTGCCTCTGCTTTCTTCACCCAAGAAGATCAGCACAACAGAGCAAGCACGAAGCTGTTTCTTGCAGCAACTATCCACATCACTATTTCGGACATTTTTACCACTTTACCATCTGCTGCTGCTGCCAGTACTATGTATACTCTCTAGTCACAAAAGCTAGCATTGACTCTTACATCATGACTCATGAGCTATATCAGCATAGCTAGCTAGCTGGTCCAGCTTCTAGCAAAGCTAGCATGCATTCCATTTGGATCATGCTTTTGTGTGATGATGAGCAAGCATGCAGCACCCCAATTCTAAGTCCGGGTCCTGAGGCTAACATCTAAAGTTCTCTAAGTCAAAGTATTCAATCTGCAGTATAAGGTGTCAGGTGACTCACATGAGTAGTTATGGGTGGCTGAGGTGGAGGGAATAGCACCGGTGGCAGTGGCAAAGCTTGACCCATACTCGATGCAAAATTCTGCATGTATTGGAACATTTGGTCCATCCTCAACCGATTTTCTTCCTCTATCCTCTGCATCGTCTGCCGCTCGGCTGCCATCTTCGCCTCCGTCTCCGCCATCCTTGCCTCCATCTCCTCCCGTTGCTTCATTTCTGCTTCCACCCGGGCCTATAACATTTCATCCCAATATTACAATACAAAGCTGAAGTACGTAACAATCAACGAACGATGAATAAATAAGAAATAACCTGGAGAGTCTCCATCTGAAACTGCGTAGTGGTTGGCCGTGGGCGTATCGCCGGGCTCGAGCTCGTGCTCCTTGCCTGGACCTAGGAGAGAGTGAGAGTAGAGGCCGTGTCGAGTGTACTGTCGTCAATCCAGTACCGGCCATGCTTCTTGCCTCCTCCCACCCTCATCACGATTTCTCCATCAAGATCCTCGGTGCTCGGATCGAACTGTGGCCCATGAACCAGCCTTGCCGTCGCCTTGCCCTTTTTGGACAGAACCCATGCCTTGAACCGGGAGCAAGGCTGGCCCTCATGTGACGATGACTGCGGCAAAAATGCAAAATGATTAGAAATTATGCAGAATTGAGCGTTAGAATAAAGAAATGAATTCGCGTACCCATTTTTCCATGTATTCGTCGAGGCTCAGGCTACCTTGATGGTGTGATGCACGTGGCATCAGCAACGTTGGTCCCGGCAAGCGTTGTGCGTCTCCACCCACCTAGGCTCCACCCACTTGTCCACCATGTATTCCCAGCACTGGGCATGCTGGGCGCACCAGTACGGAGGCACCTACGTGATCAAGTGTATGACATATGAAAAAATGAAACTAAGCGTAATTAATCTCATAAAAAGTAAGTATTAATGTTCTATATGTACCTGCAAGAATTACTCGGGATATGGACATGGGTTAAGGTTTGAACACAAACACAGCAGGCGCGGCCCAGTAAAGGACATGGGTGTATACATACACTACACCAGATAATTTTTTGAAACATAATCGAATTAGTAGGCATAACATATGTATACTCCTGTAATTATATCATATCCGAATACAAATAGGTTAAGCTAGGGTTTGGATGCTCAGTTTCGCGTAGCAGGAAGGGAAGAGAAGGGGTGGGCGTACTCGTCGCCGGCGAAGGGCCCGAAGAAGACCTGGCGAAGGGCGGCGGCGGCGGTCATCCAGTCGTCGCCACGAGAGAGAGCTTCGCACGTGGGGCGCCGGGGGCGGGGCGGGGCACCGAGGGCTGGCGGCGCTGGGGGCGGGACGCGCCGGGGGCGGGTGGCACCGGGGGCAGGGCAGCGATGCCGTGCCGGTGGCGGGGCACGGTGGGGCCGGGAGGCGTCAGGGCACGGTGCGGTGGGGCGCGGTGGGGAGGGCGTTGGCGGCGTGCAGTTGCGTGCGGTGCGCGAGGGTGAGGGTGAGGGCCGGGGGTGCTAACAGCTAGGGTATATGAAGGAGTATGGTGAGTGCCAGGATCTGGGGCACTCGGCATTAGTTTTTTTTGAAGGAGTATGCCGAGTGCCAAGATCAGGGGCGCTCGGCATTTTTTTTATGTTTCATTATGGCCCGATACTGTGCAGTGGGGCCGGTCGACGAATTTGCCGAGTGTCCCTTATATGACACTTGGCAAATGGCCTTTTTGTCGAGTGTCAGCTACAAAACACTCGGCAAAATAAATCAATATTTCATGCTCTACCGTCCCCCTTCTTCGTAGCGTGTTCTACTAAATTTATTACGATGTAATTTAAAAATACATTGTCAAATTCACTCACCAATGCATATTTGATTTTTCTACGAATATTAATCTATTATTTCATGCAGTTATAACTCAAATTCAATATATATCAATTAAAATTCTATAATTGCAGTTAATAAATTAAAATTATTAAACGGATCTGAAAAATTACCAAAATTTGACGTGAACCAATCTATGTTGTCTATTGCCTATACAAAAACTTTTGAAGTCAAACCCCGATTCGACCGTCACTTTGACTCTAAATTTTATCGGATCCTTCTAAACGCTACGATTCTTGTACGGAGATGCTTCTGTTTGTAAAGGTCTTACGTGACAAATTGTGCGAAACCTTCTCAATTTTTTTTTCAAAGTTTCCACGTATGATATCAGGAGATCTTGACAAATCTTGTCATTTTCAGACTTCGTTTGCTTTTTTTAGAATTTAAAAATCATTCGGCCACACGATCGTGGTCGTGTTTCCTGAATAAAATATTCGAAAATTCTTTTCATTTCCCGAGTAAGGCCCCAAAATGGACTCAATAACATGAATATGATTTCTCCACTCAATTTATTCCATTATTTGAATCACTTGCAGTTCAAATTTGACTTAAACCAAAAAATTCCTCTGAATGCAATTAATTAAATAAATATAACAAACAGATTGAGAAATATGCCAAATTTTAACATGTAGTACCACATGTTGTATGTGGAGAGTAGAAAAAGTTTGGAGGGCAGGAGAGAAAAAAAATTATTATTTTGCGGAGTGCCCATAAAAAACACTCGGCAAACACATTAGTTTGCCGAGTGTCAAACAAAAACACTCGGCAAAAATATCAGTTTGCCGAGTATCAACAAAAAACACTCGGCAAACTCTGTCTTTGCCGAGTGTTTCTAACGGACACTCGGTAAAGTTATAACGGCAGGGCGGCGCACCCAACGGCGGTCACATGGCTGCCGCACGCCCAGCGCACGTGCCTCTACTTTGCCGAGTGTCTGTGTTTACCGAGTGTTTCTTTGTAGTTTACCGAGTGTTTTTTATTAGACACTCAGCAAAGTAGGGTTTTGCCGAGTGCTATATGTTTGCCGAGTGTTTAATTGAAAACACTTGGTAAAGAGTATGTTTGCCGAGTGTCCGATGGAATGCACTCGGCAAACTCTCAGGTACTCGGCAATTCTACTGTTTCCGGTAGTGAGGCTGAGGATTGCAGTCGACTGTATAATTTGCCTTGTTATGCTTTACCTCTTCTCAGTGAAGCCATTCCTCCTGTGTTGCAGGTTGATCTCTGGTGTGAAGTCTGTTTTCTCTCACCTTTTCATTCGCTGCAGTAGAGCAGGATCAAGGGACACTCGTGGGCGGTGGGGCCGTCATCAAGGGAAACTAACAGGTCGTACGTACCCAATGCAGAATCTGTTTTTTGATCTGTAGGATTTGAGAAACTTAAGCTTCTGCACTTGGCTACTGCTCTCTTGACTCTTTCCGTTGCTGATTTATTCCAGAAATGCCATGCTGTGCCTCAAAAGGCTGGAGCTGCATGTTTCAGCAGGTTGGAGGGTCCGCACAGAACAGAAAACTCTTTAGGACGACCATTCGACGAAGATGTTCTCCTGGGGCCTAATCTTCTTATCTTCTTGCACCTAAAAATGTTAATTTTGTGTTGAAGGCCTAAAACTGTTATACCCTCTCCTGTAGCAATTTTTCTCATCATTTGCTCTGCTTCCCTGGTTGCAAAAGTTTGCCCTCTTCCGTGGGCACACACGCAGGTATGACATAGCTTGCTCAGGATTTGACTACACAATGTAGAATTGGCATAAAAATAGTATCGCCTGAAAAGCTTGGCCCTTTTGCTGTCTTTGCAGCGTAGCCAGCACAAATCACTATATAGAGCAGCAGATTAAAAAGTTGGATTAGAACCATGGATGTTTTTAATTCTATGCTGGTAGGAACACTACAATAATAAGTTCCCTGTTTCAGTAGAGCATCGTTCGGTGGAATCTTACAACACATTATTGAATTGGCAAGGGTATAGGTGCGCGTGGCTCCATTTTCACGCACATGCTAGATGATTTCAATAGCCCTTATTAAAACTTTGAAGCTAGTCTTGGGGATGGCAGCCCATGTCACAAACGCCTCTTGAGTACTGAAATTGTGACCTATGGATCAACACGCATTTACACACAAGCAACAACATCATTTATTCATTCAGCCATTCTGTAGCCGGAAGTACAGCAAAAGTAACAAAGTAACAAACATGAGAGAAGCAAACTCATGCAGCCTGACAAGTGGATCAGACGCCACACAACACCACACAGATGAGACTGGAGCACAAGCAACAACAGACAGCTCCTCGCTCACCCTTATTTATATGTTTCTCTACAGCTCAGAGTAGAGATCCATCTGTACACACCATCTTATATCTCGGACAGTAAGATGCCATGATGACAGCAGAGGACCCACTAACAAACCAAAATCACAAATAAGCAGATGACACTGGAAGGCCAATGCAATGCAGGTCGATGCAGATGCAGGATGCAAAGACAAGCTGAGCTCACAAGCAGAGACACCTATCCATCGCGCACAGACCAATCCACCAAGAGGAAGAAACAGCAGCAGGTGAGGCCAAAGCAAGCAGAGTACGTAGTAGGTGTTGCTTACATTTCGGAGGGAGCTGCAAGAAAGACAAGATAGTAATTCATTCATTCATTCATTCTATGCATACAAGTAGCTAGAGACCACGACGTACAAACATTACTGCATACCTGAGTCATATGAGCACAAATCCCCTGAGCAGCTTCTTCTTGTAATACCGCGGGTGGATCGGCTTGTAAAGGCAAGGGTCGTGCTTGCCGCCCAACCCGTCCCACCCTAACCTTTCCCACCATTCCTTCTCGCAGTCGCACTCCACCTTGTCGCTGCTTCTGTCGCTCCTGACGGCCGGCAGGTGCCTGAGGCTCCAGCAGCCCCTGATCTTGACAGACTTAAGGTAGGGTGCGTACATCCTCCCAAGCCCGCAAATGCTTTCCAGCATGGGCAGCTCGTGCAGGTGGATACGCCTCAAATTTGGGAAATCCACCATTGTTATCATTGCTCCTGGTGGTTTCTGCTGCTGCTCTTGGTGGCTCCTGGTGTTGTTGGTGTCTAATGATGGGAAGACCACCCTGAGATCACCACACCAGATGATCTCAAGAGTCTCCAGGTAGCGCCTACGGATTATTGACGAGGAGAAGGGGAGTACATGTATGAGCCTGGGGCACAAGTCAAGGTGCAACAGTGTGAGCTCCTCAAATGATCGTCTGTGAATCTGGCTTAAGGGCAGTTTGCTCGTATCCCACATGAAGCGTTTCCTGGGGAGCTGGGATGCCCAGAATGTTCTTAGGTAATAACACATGAGCAATTTGCTTCCACCTCCTAATAACTGGGGAGCTGTAAAGATGAAGTCCAACTTGATAGTTGTGTTGTACAGGCTGTCATGCACGTGCAGGATGAAAGCACGATCACATATAATACTTGGTATAGTAGCAATAGCACCACCGTCTGTCTTCATCCGCTGGTCTTGTGTGTACAGGTAACAGTCAGAGGAGTCTAGACGTTGAAAAGAGGGAGGGCAAGGCCTTGTCCTTGATATGGTTGGGGCATCATTACCATTGCCTTCGCCTCCTTGAAGCAGGTGTTCCTCAACTACGATGGTAGCAACATCGGCATAATGCATTGATGCACCATTATTATTATTATTGTATTGGGGCTTCCGCTGCCGGATGTTTAATACCACTACTTGTGGCTCTTCTCCAGTCTGGTTCTTCATTCCTTCACTTTCGCTACTGCCACCATCGACTGCCGGACAACATCTTGGAGAGGAAATCTCCAGGTGTACCCAATGGTTTCTAAAGTATTCTTCAAGAGATGGCACAAATGACCTGAGGAGCCTTGCGTCCTTTATAGAAATATACCAATCAAATTGAGAGGGTGCACGAGCACCATGCACCAGTACCATGGGCCATGATAATGATGAAGATTCTGTAGCAGCAGTGCTACCATCCTTCGATTTTCCTTCCCCGCTTCTGGAAGTTGATCCTGATTGGGTGGTGTTGATGTGCAGCTTATGCAAGTAACTTCTCCGTTTGCCTTCTGGTGGCCACAGGATTGCACAAAGCTTGTCGCAGTTATCCAGAATGAGCTCATCCAGGCTTCGGGCTGTCATGGCACTGAGGTCCAATGTTTTGACTGCTGTGCCTGACAAGTCTAGGGTACAGAGATCCTCAAACAATCCACTCAACAACAGATTCTTCAGTTTAGCACATCCCCTGAAGGAGAACTTTTGTATCCCAACACACCCATCAATAATTATCACAGTCTCAAGCTGGTTGCTGCTAGTGCTTATCCCAGATAAGTTTGCTGCTACACCTCCTTCTTGCTTGGTACGGTTTCCCGAAAAGTCAAGAAGCTCCATCTTGTTCATTCCCAGCAACAAGTTACTTTCCGAGCAACTATTGCAGCCTACTGTTGACTTTGTCACTCGGAGCTTGCGGATGTTAGGCAGCTGGCCCTGCAGCTGGCCGATGTCCCAATCCTGTGCTCCCATCACATTTAGCTCCCTTAGCTGAGTCATGAAATCTAGCAACCGTGCAGACAGGATGCCGTGACAGCGCGTGTAACGCACGTCGAGCACCCACAGGTTTTGGAAGCATCGGCGGATCATTGCCTCCTCCTCCTCCCCCCCTGCTGTATCTGTATCAGTGTCTTGCACTTGACAGTGGTGCAGCCATAGAAACTTAAGGTTGTGGCAGTTGATGAAGGGTGGTGATGAAAGGCTGATGAAGGTGCGGCCACAGAGCTTGAGCACGCTAAGCTTGTTGTCAAAATATTGGAACATGTCAGCATTAGGAATGGCACTGGCCGGAACTAGCAGGTGCCCGTAGGAGTTGGGTGGTGAAGGAAAAGGAGTCCCCGGTTGTGATGCTGTGCTGTTATTATCATCATTGCACCACATTACCAAGTGGGAGGGTGGTGGTAGATATGGGTGGTCATGGAGGTAGTAGTCCACATTGAATGGCATGGCGAGCCTCAGGGCATCAGCAGCTTGCCATGACGCATCGCCACCATCAGTGGCCTCTCCCTGCCTTTCTTGCCTTATGATTGCATCGCACATCCAGTAGTTGCAACTGTGGGTGGCCATATCGTAGTCATAGTCCCCCACCATGTTGAAGTGATATCCTAGGCAGCATTGCTTCAACATGTACAAGAAGTACTCCATGACTTTTGAAGGTTGATCGACGATGCCTCGTCCGCCGCCAGTGTTGTTATCCACTAGTGATGCAGCTACTTCGGTAGCTTCTTGATGCACAAGGAACGACAAGAGCTTCCGTGGGTCTTCCTCCTCATGGCGTGTGGAGACCGAGAGGAAAACATCTGTCTTCCCTGTGGTCTCAATGGCCTTGACCACCTTCATCCTGGGTTTAAGCCGTAATTTCCCTTGGAATGTCCACAGCACCTTGTTAGTGGAGTATCCAGATAGAAGGAAACCAAATATGGCCAGATCCATCTCCTCCGTGCTCCCATTGTGGAAGATCACCAGGAACCTGCGGTTCCGCTCCTGTATGCGTTGAAACATCGCCCTGAGAACTTGCGGTATCTCAGTGCGAGAGCCCTCGGGGTGGGAAGTGATATATATGGATCATATGCACGTGAACATATCAATGTAGATCAGAAAAGAGCAGAAGAACGTTTTGAAAAAAGACTCAGCAGCTGAAAAGGAAAACATCTGTCAACTAGTGGACGCTTGACACTGATTACCTCAGTGCTTAGCAGCTTACCAATTTATATGATGTCCATTTTTGCGATCCCAAGAGGAGTTGTCAAGAAATTAGACTACTTCCACTACCGGAATCCTCAAATTTACCGAGTGTTTTTATGTTTACCGAGTGTATTCTCTCGGGCACTCGCGAACAAGTTCTTTGCCGAGTGCTGCTTTAAAAACACTCAGCAAAAGAAAAAACACTTGGCAACGAGGGGGTTTGCCGAGTGTAAAAAAAAACACTCGGCAAATAGGAGATATGCCGAGTGTTAAAAAAACAACACTCGGCAAAGAAATAAAATCTTTTTTTCTAAAAAAAGAAAGAAAAAAAATAAAAAAAAACTTTGCCGAGTGCTCAGATCTAAAACACCTGGCAAATGAAAAAAAAGCCCGCCTCGGTCCACGCGCCCAGCCCCTCCTCCCTCTCTCCTCTCCAAATCCGCCGCCGTGCGCCCGGCCCCTCCTCCCTCTCTCCTCTCCAAATCCGTCGCCGCGCTCCCGGCCCGTCCTCCCTCTCCAAATCCGCCGCCCCGGCCCCTCCTCCAAATCAGCCGCCCCGGCCTCTCCTCCCTCTCTCCAAATCCGCCGCCCCGCCTCCCTCTCTCCAAATCCGCGCGCCCCGCCCCTCCTCTCACCTTTCTTCCCTGGATCCGGCCGGATCTGGCCGCCACACCGCCCCTCCTCCGCTAGATCCGGCCCCTCCCCTCCCCTCCTCCCCTCTTCCCCACCGGATCCGGCCCCTCCCTTCTTCCCCGCCGTGGCGTGGTGCGGTCGAGCTGCCTCTCACCCTCACGGCGCCAGGGTCCATGGCGTGGCGTGGCGCGGCCTCTCTCCCTCGCCGGTGCTCAGATCCATGGTGGCAGCGGGCTGAGGCGGTGGCCAGCGACCACGAGTCCTCGCGGCAGCTGTCTCCCACGACGCGGATCCACGGCCCCCACCAGCGTCGGCGGTGTGGATCCATGGCGGTGCGACCCCCACCCGCGGAAGCGGCGGCCAGCCCCGGTGCGAGGCGGTGGCCAGATCCAGCTCCCTCCCTCGTTCGCTCAGCACGGTGGCATGGATCTAGGGCAGAGAAGGTGGCCGCGGATCCAGGGCAGGGAAGGCGGCCACGCCATCGCTCAGCACGGCGGCACGGGCCCAGACTCCCTCCCTCACTCAGTGGCGGCGCAGATCTGGCTCGGTGTCTTCGACAACGGCGGACACGGCGGGATCCAGCACGGGAGCGGCAGATCCAGCATGGGAGGACGGCGGGACCGTGGGGAGGTGGCTGCGGAGCAGGAGGTGGTGGTGGCGGCCGGTGGCTGGTGCTTGTTTTTTTTTATTTTTTTCAAAAAAATGTTTGACGAATATTTTTTTGGCATTCGGTAAAGTCTTCGCCGAGTGCCCGACAAAAAACACTTGGCAAAACAGCGTTTGCCGATAAACCGTTTGCCGAGTGTAACACTCGGCAAACCGTTTGCCGAGTGTTTTTTGGGCTTCGCCGAGTGCCCCTGGCACTCGGCAAAGCTCCTGTATCCGGTAGTGTTTAGGTCAAGATTTTTTTGGCAAAGTGATTGAACAAAAACGAAAATACAGATTAGCAAAATGGGACATATTATGCCAACCCAAAAACCAAGGTGGGCTTGGAACTCACAATTTAGACATCAAGAACACAGCCCTTCTGTGTAAGTGGCTTTTCAAATTGTTCACAACTGAGGGTACTTGGCAACAAATGCTACGCAAAAAATATTTAGGATCTAAGCCTCTTTCTCAAGTTTAATGGAAGAATGGGGACTCGCATTTCTGGACTGGCCTGATGAAGGATAACGAGATTTTCTGCGTTTTGTGACCTTCATAATTCATGATGAATCACAAGTAAGATTATGAGAAGATAGGTTGCTAGGACAGTCAACTCTGCGTCAACAATATCCTTGCCTTTATAACATAGCCCAGCATATATAGGTTACTATAGCAGAAGTGCTAAGCATGTCTCCACCTACTCTATCCTGGCGAAGAGATCTAATTGGACACAAATTAGTAGCTGGGAACAACTTACTTCCACACATCACGAATATTGTGTTAAGCCAGCAAGAATATGAATTTTGCTGGAACTTGCATCCTAATGAATAGTTCTCAGTCAAATCTCATTACCTAGCAATGATCCATAATGATGTCCCTAATATTAATAAAGGCTTGTGGAAACTAAAAGCTCTGTTGAAGATCAAGATATTTATGTGGTACCTGCTTAGAGACATAGTGTTAACCAAAGACAACTTAGTTATACATAGTTGGCATGGCAGCAAACAGTGTTGTTTTTTTCTCACAAAGATGAGACAATTAAGCACATTTTTTTTGTGTCGTTTCGCTCATGTTGTCTGGTCTGTTACCTAGGCGGCTTCAGGCATGTCTTAACCTGTCGGGGTTATAATCCTCGGGTGTCTCAAGGCACCGATTAATTAGCAGGCCGAGCGGCCCATGACACATCAGCTAGCGAAGACCCGAACGACCGAGGCCCAGCCAAGCCAAGCAGAACAGGCCTGACGCCGAGGCCAGAGTCACCCGCGACCACTCCTATCTTAGCCACACGACACGCAAAAAACTCACGACCCCTCCGCCGTCCCGACCCCTGGGAGGAATGGGGAGAGGACAAGCCCAGCCAAACGTGCCCGCTCTTACAAGAGAAGGCACGCGGCACTGACCCCGCAAGGTCAAACGTCACCCCTGCGCCACACAGCTCAGACAAGACAACACTGCCCAAAGCGGTGACAACCGGCACGGTGCCCACCGGCTAGATACGACCCGACAAGACGCATGTACGATTCTACCCACTATGGGATGGGATCCGCGACAAGGGCCTTGACTTAGAGGCTATCCAGACCGACGGGAGCCACGACCCCAACGTTCGGGATCGTGGCCATCAGCCCCGCAAGCCAATCGAGAGACTGATGACTTAGGCGCGGCTACCAACTCCTGTACAACGTCCCAAGAAACCAGGAGGCGATGACGAAGACCATGACGGAAACCACGTCGCACAGGACGGCTGGCGAACCACCGTCGTGGCTACAGTGCTAGCACGGCCGGCACAGTAGCACCATGTCACACCATACCGCGACGTGGCCACAAAACCATGACAACCACCACGCCCAGACGTGCATCACAAGACGGCGTAGCTTGCAACCCAAGTTAGCTAGGTCCTCCCTCAGGATCACGACCCTTCGGTCAGGAGAACCTTCTTCTTTGTACAAGCCCTGGCCCCGAACTCTATATAAGGGCAGCCAGGGCATCCATCTAGGGAATCTCATTTATTTTTCACTCATTCTTACACCGTTGAAGGGCTTCTGAAGCTTTCCTTCGGGCAGCCTGTCTCCTAGCTCTAACTCTCCTACCTCTTCCACCATTCTTGCACCCCCATTGTAACAACTTTAGAGCATTCAAGCGAGGAACACACACTCGATCATCTCTGAGACTAGACGTAGGGCTCTGGCTTGAACTAGTATAAATCCTCGTGTCTTTTGGATGCTACCATCGTCTTCCTAGAGAAGCGCGGCAATCATATAAATTTACTAGTCCAATTTACAAAACAACGGCACAACCGCATAGTGTATCAAGCATGTTTGGGTCTTGGCTCTGCGGTCTAAGTAAAGAACTAAAATCGTTAGCCTTGCTAGGAGCAGCAGCTACGTATTGGTCGCTTTGGTTATGTAGGAATGACCTGGTTTTTGAAAAGAAATGTACTTATTTTCCTTTACAGGTTATCCACTTGATTATACATTGGCTCCGTACATGGGCTGTCCTACAGAAGCCAACTTCACAGGATTTGGTTGTAGCAGTGTCGCAGGGTCGGAACCGCAGCAAGCATTGTTATTCGAGGTGTTGTCAGAGTACGTGTCTCTGGTGGCTCGAGTGGACTCAAGAACACAAGAATCACAGAGGGGACGCAATGGTTTATCCTGGTTTGGGCCAATCGATGCCCTACGTCCAGCAGCTGATGATCCATACATTCAAGAGCACCCAAAATCGGAGGGTTATAACAGAGTGTATAGGAGAAAGAGAGATATTTTGTAGGGGGTTAGCTCGGTGCTAATCCTGAGGTTGCCTCGTCGCCAATGGAGTCTTCCCCTCGTCAAAGAGGAGGAAGACGACGGGTGTAGTGGAGGAGCTCTCGGTGCCCCTCTCTAGATTGCTCTTCTCTCGTTGCTGAGCAGGAGCGGATCGGTGAGGAACGTATTGATCTGTCTCGGATCGTCCCCCCCCCCTTTGGGATCTGACCTATCCCTTATATACCGAGATAGGTCGGGTACATGTCGGTTTGGGGGATGAACCTATGGTCTACATGCGCCGGAGTCCAGGAGGGTCTTGCAGCGGCGCTTTGTGGACCATGGCGATGTCGTGGAGCCGAAGAAGCTCTAGGCGTTGTCCGGCTGCTCTGTCCTGACACGATGAGTGTCAAGCTATGTCTGCTTGGACCGGCCTCCCCTAGGTGTGCCTTCTGGAAACTCCTTGGTGGCGAAGGAGGTCGCGGAGGAGTTTGTATGCTTGCGTCATGTATGGTGCGTGACCCTGTTAGAGGAGTGGCTGATAGCGCCTCGCTTGCGGGGCTGGGCCGGGGAGCCCCCGAGCCCTGATGGCTCGGGGCGTGTCTTCGTGTGCCCGGGCCTTGGGTGGCGCCTAAGGCTGGGGAGAGGCCAAGGATCGGGTCCAGGCCCCCGTTGATCGGGAGCCCCGGGCTCGGACGAGCCCCCGAGCATTGAGCAGAGGTGACCGGCTTGCTCGGGCTTGGCCCCGACCCCTTGACCTGAGCGCGAGCATACCCGATGGGTATAGCCCCCGAGCCCCCG